GTGTTTACCAAAGAAATATCTATAGTACCCAGATTTTAACCTGATTTTTGATTGGCTTCCAGTGTGTGGTTTCATCTTCAACAGCCGGGAGCAGGTTAACGGAACTTTTATCTCACCCAATCATCCCGGACTGTATCCTAGAAACACAGAATGCCATTACTTCTTTATAGGAAGGAAATCCGAAAAAGTTCAGGTGACCTTCACCGAGTTCGATGTGGAAGGAGTAACTCCGTGAGTTGTGTTTGTTATAAAAAAATTTGTGTTAGATCTAGCCTTAGTGTTTGATTTCATTTTGTCTTTATAATGTTAGATTTAACTTTAGCTATAGGTAGTTTTAGCTTCACAGTCAGAGCCGTAACCTGTCATTTTTTTTGTGCCCTGAGCAAATTTCCAGTCTGTATAGTTCTGCATTAATTATTGAATAACAGGCTTAGCGTTCGGACTGCGCCCCCCCCTTCCCGCTGCGCCATGGGCAAGTGCCCCTCCCACCCTACCCTAGCTACGGCTCTGTTCACAGTGTTAAGAGTTGGTTTTAGATTTCTAGTGTTAGATCTAGATTGAGTTTCACAATAGTTTATATAAATAGTGTTTCGGCCTCTAGTGTGTTTGTTTATCCCAGCCGGCCTGATGAGCTCTGGTATTGAGTAAAACGCGTCGTCGGCAATGGCTATGGTGGACAGAGTGTGGTTGAAATATTTTATATACTCTTCATCTTCTAAATAAAACCTGTAGGGTTAAAATATAATAGACCTAATACTAATGTCTTACGACAAGTATAATTAATTAAGTTTACAACGCTAGAATCCGGGTTTCGATACCCGTGGTGGGCAGACTCATTAACAGATGTATTGGTGAAGTTGAAGGAAGATTACTAAATGACATCTTTGTTTGGTACTTCAGCTGCACCATAGATACCGCTAGTGACTACTTGGAAATTTCCAATAAGCCTTCCGCAGTCGCTGGACTTTCTCGACACTGTGGTTTAAAGAAGCCCAGAACAATTCGCTCGGAGGGATATTATCTTCGGATCACGTTCAAGTCTAACAACCGATTTGACGGAACGGGTTTCAAGGCCTTTTATCAATTCACGAATGAAACAAGTAAGTAAACATTTCTAATAATATTAATTAAGCAGAAAGTAGATGTATTCAGTTAAATCCGAAAACGTTGGACTAGAGGGAAGGCAACTAGACAGAAGAACCCCCCGCCAACTCTTCGGCTACTCACTCAACCATACCAACAAATACGGTACATATATATGTTTATGTTAGTTTATCTTCTGTTTCTTTTATTCCTCACTCCCCTCAGTGTCTCGGTGATAATCTTGAGAGTTTATAACACTAAAATCGGGATTAGATCCACGCAGATAGCTCATTGTTCAGCTTTGTGCTAAGAAGATGAATAAATTATCATACAAATTTCGTAACGCCATCTGTTGGAAATTATACATATCTACCAAGATTCAAACAACAGTGAACTTAAAATCATCTCTTGAAAACTGTAATTAAAATCAAAACTTAACTTACATATATGTTATTCAAAAACTTTCACAATCCGGAGTCATCTGGTGTCAACTATGAAAGAATATATATATATATATTTGTTATTATTAATCATAGCAAGAATACTTAATTTATTCGTATTGTTTTTCAGGCCCGTCATGGTTTAGTGGTTAGGGCCCCGGTATGGCCTGATGGTTAGGGCCCTCACATGGCCTGGTGGATAGGGCCCTGGCGTGGCCTGGTGGTTAGGGCCCCAACATGGCCTGGTAGTTAGGGCCTCGGCATGGCGTGGTGGATAGAGCACTCGAATCGGAACCTGCAGGTCGCTGGTTCGAATCCCGTAACCGAACATGCTCGTCCTTTCAGCCGTAGGGGCATTATAATCCTACTTTTCGTTGGTAAAGGGTAGCCCAAGAGATGTAGTTTAATGCATAAATAGTCCAGGAACTTAAAAGAGCCGATATGAGTCCATATTATTAATAATAGTATTAATATTTTTAAAAAGAACAACATGGAGTTTTCATTATTACTTTTGGTAATTAATATCAACCCTAGAAAGAAGGTGTTATTTGATTAGTTTCTTCTTGATTGACGATCTGTCTGTAACTGAGCAAGAATGATAAGTTAGCACGTGATAGGCCGCGAGCTTGAGCCCGCGTAAGATGAAAATATTTTACTCCAGAGTCTACATCCTGTTATATAGTTAAGAGATGATTTTATTAATAAACAAATGAGTTTCCTCTTGAGTCACAACTGGATGACGAATATGATAACTCGTGGATAAAAAACTAATCACAACTCGCTTTATAAACGGCAAATTGTATTGTGTGCCGTTCTGTTCCCATAAAATCGCGCATTGCACTTTGGAGCCATGGGTGCGTTATAAGTGTGGCAGTCAAATCTCACTATTCGATTATAACAGGGCTGTAGACTAGTTGCCTTCCCTCTCGCTAGTCTATCAGTTAAAAATTAGAGTTTGTTTGTTTCGAATTTCGCTTAAAGCTAGTCACCATCACCCACCACCATATCTTGGGCTACTCTTCACCAACGAATAGTGGGATTGACCTTCACTTTATCACGTCCCTACGGTTGAAAGGTTCGGTAAAGGAGATACAGTTAGGGACGGCTAACACAGATAGTCTTTGCGCGTGTATACAAAATAAACAAATAAATAATTAATTGTGTGCTTACAGCGCCATTGTGGGATTCTATTTTAATCGATGAATTATTTTGTAAACCGGTGAATCAAACGAGCTCAGAAATAGCTCCATCTGTTGACAAAACTCAAGAAGTTTAGGAAAACGAAGAAAAAAGTTTTCGCTAGAAATTTGACAACATTATTTGAATTTCTTAGACCACAAAATAGGAACATATAGAATGTAAGTATTTAAATTATGACAATTTCATCAGTCTATGTCGTAACACAACGTTTCGCTTATTAATATCGTAGTCTAAGCCTAAAAAAAAAATTATAGTGACATTATTGCATTCAATTACATAGTTCAAAAATTGAAGGTATGTGATTGGTTGTTGAGCGATATGACAATTAGCATATTTAATATAAACTACTCCCATATACACAGTATATGATAGCCTATCTTTGCCATGGTTCTCTGGGAATCACAAAAGCTGTTGGTTCCCTGAACGTCCGCTAGGATTACTTTTCTATACCTTGATATTTTCATTCTTTTGAAAACATTCACGCTGCCCTCTTCTGCAACGAAGAAAAAAAAATTCTAAGTCGATCTATCGACACAATGTTGTACTTTTTTTTATCTCTTGGGGGCATTACTCGTATTGTGTGGTTCACACGCACACATAAGAAACTTTTCTCAAAGAACGAAGTCTGTCTACTCCGAAATTTTGTGTTATCTCGTACGTATGTCATCTAAACAGAAAAAAAAATGTTACCTAGTCCCGGATTTTTTGGAAACAATATTTGCTCAAGATAGTAGCAGCCTTGTTAAACATATTATATCTTGACTTACAAATGATATCTATAGTGTAGTGTTATATCTTGATTTATAACTGATACCCGTAGTGTGCAATACGTTATACATTGCCTAATTAAAACCCCAATTCAATCCTGTTCATTTGATTTACTAAAGTTTTAGTTGGAATAATACACCAACTGATTGTTTTAACATTTTCATACAAAGCTACTGGAGGTGATATCATCACATACGGGTCAGGGATTTTGAGCTAATAGACTAGAGAGAAGGGAGCTAGTGAACAGCATCCGCCGCCAACTCTTAGGCTACTCTTGTCTGACCGAATATGTGGAATTTGGCCTTCATTCTTGTAAGGCACTCGCAGTAACAAACTACGAAGCAAGTTTTAGACGCAACGGGATATAAACCACAGATCCTCGAATTCACAGATATCCTAACAATGGGGGGGGGGGCGGATTAGTCATTCTGCTGTGAATAAGGGTTAACCAGTTTTAATAACTAGTTCAGTGTTTGGTTTGCTGTGAATAAGGGATAACCAGTTCAGTGTTTGGTTCACTGTGAATATGGGATAACCAGTTTTAGTAACCAGTCTAATGTTTGGTTTGCTGTGAATAAAGGATAGCCAGTTTTAGTAACCAGTCCAGTGTTTGGTTCACTGTGAATATGGGATAGCCAGTTTTATTAACCAGTTCAATGTTTAGTTTGCTGTGAATAAGGGATAACCAGTCTAGTGTTTGGTTTGCTGTGAATAAGGGATAACCAGTTTTAATAACCAGTCTAGTGTTTGGTTTGCTGTGAATAAGGGATAACCAGTTTTAATAAC